TGAGAAAAACTGGTCTATTCTAATTTCTGGGGAGAAGAGAAGGATGTAGGAGGATATTGCGCGAATATTTTTCTTGTGAAACATTTTGGCTCTGTGAATGCTGAAATTAATGCTGAAGAAGAAAATGAAAATAAAGGGTTCAGATCAACGGTTAGAGGGCTGAGTTTGTTGGTGATTTAGCACAAGGATGCTACAATTATACAGATAGTCCTCGACTTACAACCATTCTGTCAACTCGCAAAGCATCCATGGCCTGCTCTTGAGTTGCCATAGGCCAGGGGCTTAGGGAACTGGTGAAACTGCACAGCAACCAAAGACAGATGCACATTCCATGCTTATCTCTCTCAAGGCTGTATCCCAGGGTTTCCTACAGCAGCCGGAGGGGAGTGATTTCTAAAACCCGTGAAATTGCTCCATTGGTGAATGTGATTGATTACACACCCTGGGGGGAGGGGGGAAACAGGGTCATAATTGGAGCATAAATTACATAGGGTCAGAGCTGCTTCACTTGGGAACATACCAACATGAAGCTCCTAATAAATAACTGGATTTCTTTTGAAGCTTGGCTCGAGACTCATGATTTAATTAGGGCATCCGTCTGAACCCTGACACATTCGTTTAGTGACCAAAGTTACAACAGCATGCAATATCATTGTATTTCACACATATGACCATTACAGCATCCCTGTGGTCACGTGATCAAAATTCAGATGCTTGGCATCTAACTCATATTTATGATGGTTGCAGTGTCTCAGGGGTCATATGATCCCCTTTTGCAACCTTCTGACATGCAACAGTCAACGGGGAAGTGGGATTCACTGAACAACCACGTTACTAGCTTAACAAGTGCAGTGGTTCACTTAACAACTCTGGCAAGAAAGGTTGTAAAATCGGGCAAAATTCACTTAACTGTCTTGCATAGCAACACAAATTTCGGGCTCAGTTGTGGCCATAATTCAAAGACCATCTGTACGGGGTCTTCAGGGATCTTGGGGAAAGCATGGAACTACGTCTTCTCCTTCTTTTAGAAATGTGGAAATGGGTGCCATTCCAATAAGCCACTGCATACAGGAACAGGAGATCGTTGTAGTAATAACTTCATTATATATATATATTCTGTGCTTCTAACTGTTACCAGGTGGAGTTGGGGACACTGCGACAAATTTATCAGGCCCACCGTGGTACATCTCTTGACTCATAGGAATTCATAATCCTAGTACAGATGCAATGCACAAACAAACTCACTCTGAAAGTAGCAGGCAACCACAACATATACTACCGTATTTTTCGGACTATGAGACGCACCTTTCCCCCTCCCCTCCCAAAAAAGAGGGTGAAAATCTGGGTGCGTCTTATACTCCAAATGTAGCCCCGCCCAGCTTCTCAAACGGAGGTTTCAGAGGCTGAAAAAAGCATCAGAAAAGAAGCTTCAGAAAAGAAGCCCCCAAACAGAGCTTCAGAGGCTTTTTTTTCTGAAGCTGTTTCGGAGGCTTTCAAAGTTTTTTCTGAAACGGAGTTTTAGAAGTTTCAGAGGCAGAAAAAAAAGCAAAAAAAAAAAAAAGCAAGGCACAGAGCTCACAACTAAGGAACCTGTTGCTAAAATTTACCTCTGGGAACAGCTGATTGTGGATATTCCAGGAGGAGGCCGATCCACCTGCCAATCAGCTTTTTTCTTATTTTCCTCCCCAAAAACTAAGGTGCCTCTTATACTCCGAAAAATACGGTATTGATTTGGTTCTTCAGCGGCTGCAGCCCCAGATCCCGTTATCTGAGCGTTAGTTTCTGGTTCAGTTTCTTCTGTTATACTTCTCTGATTCAACAGGAAAAGTATATGGATCATTAACTAGAGATCTTCAACTAGTTGAAAGTCATTCTTTATCGTGGGAAGAATGTTGCCACTGATACTCTTCAGACTGAAGTAAGGTTTCCATCAAAGGAGAGTAAAAGCTTTCCTGATTAATTTCTACTTCTCTTGACTACTTTGATGTTAATCTTTGGCAAGACCAGTTGCAAACCAGAATCAGAATCGAGTTGGAAGGGACCTTGAGAGCTCCTCTAGTCCAAACCCCTGCTCAAACAGGAAAACCTATACCAGTGATGGCTAACCTTTTTGCCATCGCGTGCCAAAAGCAGGGGAAGCGTGGGGGGTGGGTCACATGTGTGCATGCCCACACCCATAATTCTATGCCCCCCATCCCCGCACATCAGTGGTGGGTTCCTCCTGGTTCGGTCTGGTTCGGCCGAGCCGGTAGCGGTGACAATATGACGTCACCGAACCGGTTCTCCCCCCCCGCCCTTCCACCCCCCCACCCCCCCACGTTATTCTTACCTTTTATTTGGTCCCACCCCCAATCTATTGCTGCCACCTGAGTCCCAGCTGATGACTAGAGGGAAAAAAACTGTTTAAACTCTTGCCACGGTGCTTCAAAGGGCCGTCCAACAGCTGATCAGGGTTAAAAGCAAACAAATGAGTCGGGTCATAAGTGAGAGGACTGGTCGTAAGTACGAGGACCTTCCAGAAATGACTCTGACCAGCTAGCCATGCAGACCTAGTCACATGACCTCCAAGCCACATCCACAAAATAAGCCACGCCCACAGAACCGGTAGTAAAAAAATTTAGAACCCACCCCTGCCACACATGTGCTCGCGCCCCCCCCCCGCGCCCCCCTGCTTTTGGCACACAATGGCACAGTGGGCCCAATAGGCCCGTTTTGCACCCTCCCCAGGCTCCAGAGCCTTTCTAGGAGCCTGGAGAGAGCAAAAAACAGGCCTTCCCCCCCACCCCACCAGAGGCCCTCTGGAAGCCCTCCGGAGGCTGAAAACAGCCTGTTTCCCGACTTCCGGTGGGCCCAGAAGGCCTGAAAATCAGCTGGCTGGCACGTGCATGCGTATGCATGCCGGAGCTGAGCTCGCGTGCCCACTGATATGGCTCCATGTGCCACCTGTGGCATGTTCGCCATCACGACCCTATACCATTTCAGACAAATGGTTGTCCCATCTCTTCTTAAAAAAAACCTCCATTGGTGGAGAACGTCTTCTGCCACCAGTAGCCTCCCACCAGCCAGTCCGCTCCCACAGAGAGGGTCTCCTCAGGGTGCCATCGGCCAAATAATGTCGGCTGGCGACACCCAGGGGAAGGGCCTTCTCTGTGGGAGCCCCTGCCCTTTGGAATGAATTGCCCCCAGAAATGCGTAAGATCTCCAATCTCCGTGTATTTCGGAGCCCTCAAAACCTGGTTGTTCCGCCAGGCCAGGCTATCAATGTAATGATTTTAATTGGTTTTAAAAATGGGATTTTAAATTTGGGGGTTTTATAATTGAGCCAATTATTTAATAATTTTAATTATTTTTAAATTTTGTCTGTCTTTGTGCTTTTAATCAGGCTGTACACCGCCCTGAGTCCTTCGGGAGAAGGGCGGTATAGAAATAAAATTAATAATAAAATAAATAAATAAATAAAACCCATAACAAGCTATTATGGCAAGCCATTCCTTGATTAATTGTTCTCACTGTTAGGAAGCTTCTCCTTAACTCCAGGTTGCTTCTCTCCATCCATTGCTTGTTGTCTTGCCTTCTGGGGCTTTGGAAAATAAATTGACCCCCTCTTCTTTGTGGCAGCCTCTTAGATACTGGAACATTGCTACCACATCACTCCCAATCAGTGGTGGGATTCAACATTTTTTACTACCGGTTCTGTGGGCGTGGCTTGGTGGGCATGGCTTGGTGGGTGTGGCTTAGTGGGCATGGCAGGGGAAGGATACTGTAAAATCTCCATTCCCTCCTCACTCCAGGGGAAGGATACTGCAAAATCCCCATTTCCTCCCGATCAGCTGGGATTCGGGAGGCAGAGAATGGATGGGGGCGGAGCCAGTCAGAGGTGGTATTTACTGGTTCTCTGAACTACTCAAAATTTCCGCTACTGGTTCTCCAGAACTGGTCAGAACCTGCTGAATACCACCTCTGCTCCCAATCCTTCTTTTCTCTAGACCAGGGGTATCAAACTCAAGGCCCGGGTGCCGATCCAGCCTGCAGGGTGCTTAGATCTGGCCTGGAAACCGCAATGGACTGGCCCGCGTTGCCTCTGCCAATGAAAATGGAGCTCAGGAGCCCATTTTCGCTGGTAGAGCGCTTAGGTCACTCCAGGCACCCCCGATACGAGTGACGTCAAGCTAGCCACTCCCACTCTGGCCACGCCCACCCTGGCCCCCCAAGGTCAAACACAACCCTGATGCAGCCCTCAATGAAATTGAGTTTGACACCCCTGCTCTAGACCAAGATAACATCCTCATCAGTGGTTCGGTCCGGTTCGGCTGAGCCAGTAGCGGTGACGATATGACGTCACCGAACCGGTTCTCCCCCCTCCCACCCCCCCACCCCCCACGTTATTCTTACCTTTTATTTGGTCCCACCCCCCATCTATTGCTGCCTCCTGAGTCCCAGCTGATGACTAGAGGGAAAAAAACTGTTTAAACTCTTGCCGCGGGGCTTCAAAGGGCCGTCCTACAGCTGATCAGTGTTAAAAGCAAACAAATGAGTTGGGTCGTAAGTGCGAGGACTGGTCGTAAGTGCGAGGACCTTCCAGAAATTACTCTGACCAGTTAGCCACACCCACCTAGTCACATGACCTCCAAGCCACACCCACAAAATAAGCCACGCCCACAGAACCGGTAGTAAAAAAAATTTAGAACCCACCCCTGATCCTCATCCCCTCACTCCCTTTCTAATCCAGGAATCTCCAAACTTGGCAACTTTAAGACTTGTGGACTTCAACTCCCAAAATTTCCCAACCAGCATGTTTGGAGACACCCCCACCCCCTGTCAAAAGAGGAGCAGGAGTCACCAGCTCTTGAGATGTTCAGCAACTGACATCCATCCTGAAATCTTTCCGGGGAAGAAATGCCCTGGACAACACAATTCCAGATAATGAGGTCTTCAGATTGCTTTGAGCTTTTCTTACATTAAAGAGTTACTTTGCATAGTTTCTGTTTTTCTTTCCACAGTTTCTACAACTGGGACCGAAACCTCTGCTGCATGAATTCAAGCCCAAACTACCAGGTGGTTGCAGAAAGTGCATGTGGCTTACTCTTTAAGAACAAGTCTGACAGGAAGATCATTAATGTGGATCCCAAGGTAATAATGCTGCCTTAGATCCTTCAAATGTATTGCTTATCTCCACGTATCTATGCCTCAGAGACACATATGGTCTTTATCTCTCTAATACGTTTGTCATTGACCAATGCCAAGACATGCTGCAATGAAGTTCATATATGCTTCATATATCTTTACGATAAAACATTCTTAAATTTAATGTAGACAAGATAGACATCCAAATTAAAATCATTCCTGGACCATCTCCTTCCACCTTCTGATCGAGCATCCACAATTAATCAGCAGTCATCACTTCTTCAGATGTTTCTTTCGCTGTTTTCCAGAAGAGGTTTGCTCAACACAAAATAGCTTCTATTATATTTACAGTATATATCTTGAATATATAAATGTTGACGATGTGAGATGTTACTCCCTTGAAACATTTAACAGATTAACAGAGTTGGAAGGGACCTTATAGGTCATCTAGTCCAACCCCCCGCTTAAGCAGGAGACCCTACACCATTTCTGACAAATGGCAGTCCAATCTTTTCTTGAAAGTCTCAAGTGATGAAGCTCCCACCACTTCCGAAGGCAACTTCTGTCCCATGGGTTGATTGTTCTCACTGTCAGAAAGTTCCTACTCATTTCTAGTTTGGATCTCTCCTTGGTCAGTTTCCATCCGTTATTCCTTGTCTGGCCTTCAGGTGCTTTGGAAAATAGCTTGACCCCCTCCTCCTCTCTGTGGCAGCCCCTCAAATATTGGAAGACGGCTATCCTGTCTCCCCTGGTCCTTCTCTTCACTAGACTAGCCATACCGAGTACTTGCAACTGTTCATGTTTTAGTCTCCAGTCCCCTCATTATCCTGGTTGCTCTCCTCTGCACTTTTTCTAGAGTCTCAAAATCTTTTTTATAGTATGGTCTGCTCAAAATTTCCGCTACCGGTTCTCCAGGACCTGTCAGAACCTGCTGGATTTTAACCCTGCTTTGGAGGTTGTCTAGTCCAACCCCGCCCCCCCCCCTCTTCAAGCAGGAGATCCTATACCCGTGATGGCGAACCTATGGCACGCGTGCCACAGGTGGCACGTGGAGCCATATCTTTGGGCACGTGAGCCATTGCCCTAGCTCAGTTCCAGTGTGCATGCGCGGGCCGTCCAGCTGATTTTTGGCTGGCCCCGCCCATGCTACCCCTCGCCTCCCAGGTGTCTCCACGCGGGCCTTTCTGGATGCCAGGTAACTACAGGGCTCATGTGGAGGCTCTGGGAGGGCGTTTTCGGCCTCTGGAGGGCTTCCGGGGGGCGAGGCTGTTTTTGCCCTCCCCAGGCTCCAAGAAAGACTCTGGAGCTTGGGGAGGGCAAAAAACGGGCCCACTGGGCCCACCGGAAGTTGGGTAACAGGCCGTTTCCAGCCTCCAGAGGGTTCAGGTAGGCCTGCTAGGCCCAAAACGGGGCTCAGGGGTGTGTGTCATGCGCGGGGGAGCACAGGTGGGTGGTCATGCATTGGAGGGCATTGGATTATGAGTGTGGGCACGTGGCGACCCCTCCGTGCTCTGCCCACTTTTGGCACGCGACGGCAAAAAGGTTAGCCATCACTGTCCTATACCATTTCAGATAAATGGTTGTCCAGTCTTTTCTTAAAAGCCTCCAGTGGAGCACCCACAACTTCTGAAGGCAAGCAGTTACACTGGTTAATTGTTCTCCTTAATTCTAGGTTGCCTCTCTCCTTGATTTCTTTCCATCCATGGTTTCTTGTCCTGCCCTCTGGTGCTTTGGAAAATAAATTGAATCCCTTCCTCTTTGGGCCTTTCTCCCAGCTTGGACCTGGACCTGGATATTTCTTCCAGCACTGGTGAGGCAAATGGGGTTCTACGGTGGTGCAGCTGCTGCTTTGACTCCTCGTGGCCTCCAGTGCTTCCACCTGGAGAAAACATCCCGCTTCCCTCTATTTTACAGTTGGTTTATACGGCCACGCAGCACAGAGTGACCCTTAGGAAACCACTTGGAAATGTTGGATCTGCCAACTTCCTGCCTGTGGCCTGCAAAGCTGTGTGTAGCTGCCGGCAAGCCTGTGATTATTTTATTTTGTTTTGCATTCCATCCTCAAAGCTTCAGGCAGAGAGCCCCAAGGTTTGCATCTGGCAACTGATCCCGCTAAGCTTCAGTTGCTCTAGGCAAAGGTTCCAAGTATCTGCTTGACTTCCTCGCCAAACCTCTGTTTATTTCTCTGCCATTTCCTGTAGCTGTCTATTGGCTAACGAACGCAGAGGGACTGAGGGAGAGGCAAAAGCTTGTCCTTGCCCCACTTACGAGGAAGCTTGGGCCAGCTAAGAAGGCGCAGGAGAAACACCTGTTGTTCCCTTCTTGAGATCTAAAATCGGGGTTCTCCAAACTTGGCAACTTTAAAGACTTGTGGACTTCCACTCCCAAAATTCCCCGGCCAGCCAGACTGTTCCTCAGCATGCTGGCTGAGGAATTCTGGGAATGGAAGCGTGCAAATCTTAAAGTTGCCAAGTTTGGAGACCCCAGATCTAAACCAGGGGTGAAATCTACTTACCTTCCCTACCGGTTTGGAAGTGCACGAGCCGTGTCACCCTTCTGCACATGCGCAGAGGGTAAAAAACAGGTTACTTTGTAATGATGACCAGGCGGGTGGGCAGAGCCTCGTGCTGCCATTGCTACCGGTTCTCAGAACCACCCACTGCCATTGCTACTGGTTCTCAGAACCATCCACTGCCCTCGCTACCGGTTCTCCGAACCACCCGCTGCCCTCGCTACCGGTTCTCCGAACCACCCGCTGCCATTGCTACGGTTCTCCGAACCACCCGCTGCCATCGCTACCGGTCTCTCCGAACCACCCGCTGCCGTCGCTACCGGTTCTCAGAACCACCCGCTGCCGTCGCTACCGGTTCTCCGAACCACCCGCTGCCGTCGCTACCGGTTCTCCGAACCACCCGCTGCCGTCGCTACCGTTCTCCGAACCACCCGCTGCCGTCGCTACCGGTTCTCCGAACCATCCGCTGCCATCGCTACCGGTTTTCCGAACCACCGCTGTTGTCGCTACTGGTTCTCCGAACCATCCGCTGCCGTCGCTACCGGTTCTCCGAACCACCCGCTGCCGTTGCTACTGGTTCTCAGAACCATCCGCTGCCCTCGCTACCGGTTCTCCGAACCACCCGCTGCCCTCGCTACCGGTTCTCCGAACCACCCGCTGCCGTCGCTACTGGTTCGGCCATTTCACCCCTGATCTAAACAATCATGCAAACAAGGTCTCCAAGACGGTGGTAGGAATCCTTGGCCCTGGACATCCTATCACACCGGACACTGCCCGTGAATGATATAAAACCAAAGGTTACGTACAATGCTAAATAAGTTTGTTTTAGACTAATGGAAGTGGGTAAGGGCCTTTTTTGGAAAGAGAACCTAATTTATAAACCCAGATATGTGGGGCTTAGAATCTAAAACACAAGCCTAACAGTGAAAACCGATTTAAGTTGTCCTTGATTGTGCTTGCAGATGGCTACTTATCTGACTAGGTATCATCTTCAATGCTAGAAGGAAGTGGGGTTTATACTCTGTTTCCCTGAAAATAAGCCCTATCCAGAAAATGAGCAGTAGCATGTTTTAGGTGTGCACCTAAGATAAGCCCTACCCCCAAAATAAGCCCTACTTAAGCCGAGGTGGCACAGTGGTTAGACTGAAGCATGCAGGATACTTTAACTAATTGCTAGCTGCAGTTTGGCAGTTCAAATCTCACCGGCTCAAGGTTGACTCAGCCTTCCATCCTTCAGAGGTCGGTAAAATGAGAACCCAGATTGTTGGGTGCAATATGCTGACTCTGTAAACTGCTTAGAGAGGGCTGTAAAGGCACTATGAAGCGGTATATAAGTCTAAGCGCTATTGCTATTAAGAGCCTGCACAGCTGGCCATCCATCCATTCTGTGTCGTTGCTCGTGGTGCCACAGCCATGAGGCAAGGTGGGGTGTTGGTGGAGCTGCTCCATGCACCCGACACCAGCTTACCTCAGGGCCCCTGCAGTCAGGCTATCCACACCCTGACACCTGCCTCACAGCGGCAGCCCTGGCAGCCATGTGTAGCAGGAGGGCGTATGGCCACCGCCCCACTTCTTCTGTTTGCTTGCGACTACAATGGAGCAGGAGGTGTCAGGATGTGGATGGCCTGGCTGTGGGGGCCCTAAGGTAAGCTGGTGTGGGGCATATGGGGCAGTAGTTGGTCTCCACCCCCTCTGCATCGCCTCGTGGCCACAGCACCAGCGCGTCGCTTGACCTCCTACTCTGGCCTCCTACTCTGTTGCGGCCACGAGCAAGCAGAAGTGGGTCAGTGGCCATGTGTGGTCCTGCTGAACTGGACTGCTGGATGGCATTGCTGCGGGGGCCCTGTGGTAAACCAGTGCAGGGCGCGTGGGGCAGCTCCACAATCCCCATTTCGCTGCAGTGGCACTGGGACACTGAACAGCCTCCTACCCCACCGTGAGCAAGCAGAAGTGGGCCTCTTATACATGGGGAGGAAAATAAGACACACCCCTGAAAATAAGCCCTGGTGCTTATATTGGGGCCCAAAAGAAAATAAGACCCAGTCCTATTTTCGGGGAAACATGGGTATATAGTACTTGGTCCTTTTGTGGGCGTTGTTTTCTCCTTCATAATTCTTTGATTAAGTTGTTGTTTATAGCTTGATCATCTGTCTGAGTTGATAATTCTTTGATGAAGTTATTGTTTACTGCTTGATTTATTGTCTGGTGTTAATCCTTGACTTAAACCCTGTTGAATCCCTACTAATCCTGAAATTTGAATAGAGATCAGGAATATTAGACCCATAGCAGATGTTCTAGTAGTAAAAGGTCTTGGAGAACAGACAGAGGCTTCCTCTCCAGGCGCAACCGTTGCCTACATAACGCTGCAAAATGGGTGGGATTCAGCTGGTTCGAACCAGTTCAGGTGAACCGGTAGTTATGGCCAGTGGCTGGGCCCGCCCACCTGCTGCAGCGCTATCCCGTCTTATACAATCAACGTGTTTTTGATGAAGTG